ATAGATTATGAAGGATTCTTTCTTATCCGATGTTACAGACAGAATATTAAGATTATAAACACTAAAATTAGGAATATAAATATAGGAAAATATAAAATAGAAGTATCCATGACTCCTATATCGATTAATGATTATATTACTAAATTGGTATATAGATTTGAAATATTGTATCATTAATTGTTATAACAAACAATTCGTATAATATGAGCGACATATTTATTGTACATACAGACATGCAAAATAAAATTTTATATGCAAAATAATCAATGTATACCTAATATGATATATTGAAAATATAAAAGTGTCCCAAAAGAGTGGTCGAGTAACGATTTAAAATTTTACAAACATATTGTTACTTCGCAGAAGCAGCGACGATCGTTGCATTTCGGAATTCGGACGCGCTTTCGCGCGTTCCGTTAATGCTTCATTGGATGAGAGTCTATACTCGCTAAAAACAGTCACGTCACATCCACGTCGAATCCACGTAGCAATAACGTGGATCCACGTACTGTTTTTATCGGGTATGTACTTCGATAGATATGCATCAATCAATTGGCAGTAATTTATGGCTTATATAAAATGTATCTGGATAGAATAATGGACATATGTATTATATTATCTCGATGATTCCCATACGCTGGATTGAGCATTGCGTTTATAAATTTATAAAATTTCTCCTAAGAGCCGTTCTGATCCGAGTAAGCAAAAGTCCACATACAAAAATCCACATACGAAGTTGCAACACCATGGATTTTAATAGCACTTTGATATTCCCATTTAAGATAGCAGATACAATGAAAGAATCTATGGATAGATTTGAATATATTCTGTCTAGTCTTAGAAGTGTTGATAGGTTTCCGTTTAACGATGCTAAACTGGTAATAATTTCTGCTCCGGTGTCAGTCTTCAAGGATAATACAACCTGTCTTGTATTTAAATGTAAATCAGGTACACTGAATTTCCTCGATTTCGTCGGCACTGCTATATTTTGCGAATTCATATCCGTAGTTTCATTCTTCTGTGTAGGTACTTGCACGTCGTCATCAATAAAACACGATAATACCTAGAACATTGATATAATTTAGAACTGTTGAAAATATATACGAACATGTTATACATTCTTTGTTGAGTTACCTTATTCCGTATGTTATAAAGTTGATTGAGCCGGGATAAAGAGAAATGTACTTTTGTCGGTCGTCCCATTTCAATGAAAAACTGGCGGTTTTTACCTAGAATCATTTCAGATTTTATTGTCGCAAAAGAAGGTGGAATACCCGTGTCTGGATGTGGATCTCCATGCTTTGTTTCTATCATATAAATTTTGAAATCCTTCTCGCTCGGTATTGCGTTTAGATTTTGTGCATTGCCGAGCGCTAGCTGTTATTTT